TTCTAGTCCCGGTTACTCCTCTTCCAGTCCAGCTCTCTGCTGTGGCTGGAGAAGGTAGTGGAGGATGGCCCAAGTGCTTGGGCCCTGCATCCGTATGGGAGACCAGGAGGAAGCACCTGGCTCCTGGCTTTGGATCGGCGTAGCTCCGGCCATAGTGGCCATTTGGGGGGTGAACCAATGGAAGGAAGACCTTTCTCTCTGTCTGTCTCTCTCTCTGTCTACCTCTATCTGTAAACAAAACAAAACAAAACATGAATTTGGGGCAGGTGCTGTGACGGAGCAGGTAAAGCCACCGTATGTGGCACCAGTATCCCATATGGGTGCTGGTTCGTGTCCTGGCCACTCCACTTCTGATCCAGCTCCCTACTCATGGCCTGGGAAAACAGCGAAGGATGGCCCAAGTGTTTGGGCCCCTGCACCCACATGAGAGAACTGGAAGAAGCTCCTGGCTCCTGGCTTTGGATTGGCCTAGCCCTGGCCATTGTGTGCATTTGGGAAGTGAACAAGCAGATGAAAGATCTCTCTCTCTGTAACTCTGCCTTTCAAATAAATAAACAAATCTTTAAAAAACAAAACAAAAACAAAAAAACAATAATTCATCATCTTTCGCCAAATCTCCTTTTGCCACCATGATCTCTTGATAAATGCAGCACTTGGGGCCAGGGCTGTTGCATAGCAGGTAAGACCGCAGCCTGCAGTTTTGGCATCCTGTATTGGCACTGGTTCGAGTCCTGGCTTCTCCACTTCCGATCCAGCTCTTTGCTGTGGCCTGGAAAAGCAGTAGAAAATGGCCCAAGTGCTTGGGCCCTTGCACCCACGTGAAAGACCTGGAAGAAGCTCCTGGCTCCTGGTTTTGGATCATTACAGCTCTGGCCATTGCGGGGAATGAACAAGCAGATGGAAGACTTCTCTCTCTCTCCCTGCCTCTCCTTCTCTGTCTGTGTAACTCTGACTTTCAAGTGAATAAATACATCTTTTAAAAAAAGATAAATGCAGTACTATTTACTCCATTGTTCAAGAGAGAAACTTTGGGGGCTACTTCGATGTGCTGGTGTATTCCATTGGTCTGTCATCTAATCATACAAACTCAACTACCTCTCAGATCCTCTTTATTTATTTATTTATTTATTTATTTATTTATTTTTTCTGTATTTGCGACCAAGTACTCTGGAGCAGGCTCTCATCAAACAAATTGAACAACTTCCCAATGGAGGTCTCTGACTATTCTGACTTTCTTGAGTCCACCTCACACATCACTTTCCTACATACAAAATCCGTTCCCCCCACCTCCAATAATCATGGCTCCCAATTCTTCTCCAGGGCTCTCATTTTTGCTATCATTTTAAAGCATGTTTCCCCTTGTTGGAGAATGAGAAAAGCACTTCTATCTATTCCCTTGAGTGGTAACAGCCTCTCTGAAGTTTGAACCTGTCTACTCTTTTTGCATATACAACTTAACTTTATAATCCAACCAGTACATACATCTCCATCCATATCACCCTCCTCTACCCCTCTCCTGTGAGGGCCCAAATCAGAGTTCAGTCTTTCTGGGATGTCTTGAGTAGGTACACACAGATGTACACCCACTGTGACTTTTGACTATTTCCTTCACAGAAATTAACACAAGAAGTGATAATTCTCTCCTTTCATGCCCTTCTCTTGTCCAAGTGCAAATTCCTTGAGTTCAGAAACAGAGACAAATCGCGGGTGCGTCTTCAGTGCCTAGCTAAATCTTTACATAAATTATTTAAGTGCTTTACCCTGAAAAAAAAAAAAGCTCCACAAAACAGTTATTATAGGAATTTACAGATGGAGCTGGGGGTACAATGAGGTTAAGTAACATTGCTATGCCACAGAGACCGAAGTTTAGGTTTGAAAACCTGGCCGACGGACTCCACAGCTCCTGTTTCATTATCTTCAGGCAGCCTGGCATCCTGTGGATTATCATTACTTCTTTTTTTTTCTTTTTTTGACCGACAGAGTGGACAGTGAGAGAGAGAGAGAGAGAGACAGAGAGAAAGGTCTTCCTTTGCCATTGGTTCACCCTCCAATGGCCGTCGCGGCCGGCACGCTGTGGTCAGCACACCGTGCTGATCCGAAGGCAGGAGCCAGGTGCTTCTCCTGGTCTCCCATGGGGTGCAGGGCCCAAGCACTTGGGCCATCCTCCACTGCACTCCATGGCCACAGCAGAGAGCTGGCCTGGAAGAGGGGCAACTGGGACAGAATCCGGCGCCCCGACCAGGACTAGAACCCGGTGTGCCGGCACCGCTAGGCGGAGGATTAGCCTGTTGAGCTGCGGCGCCAGCCATCATTACTTCTCAATCCCTTTGTATTTACTGCTTTCTCTCCTTTTCCATCGATGTGCTCCTGCTGACACATGTCTGCCTCCTCACCTGAATGGGGGCTTATTTCTCAACCATTCTTTCTGCCTCCATTCTTTCCCTCTGCACCTGCAGCCAGATGAATTCTCCCGAATCTCAGCTCTCCTTGTATAGATTTTCCTGCACAAAAACCTGACTGAGAGCAACGCTGAGTTTGAGAAAAGATAGAAAACCAATACAATCCATAAATAGAATCGTGTATTGCTTCCTCCTACTACTAACCAATTGTAAAGAAAGATTTTTGGTTAGTATAATGAAAAGGAAGGAAGAGAAAAAATATACAAAATTCAAGGATGCTTCAAAAAGTTGGTGGAAAGTAGGGGCAGGTCTTTGGCCTAGCATTTAGGAGATGGGTTAAAGTGCCTGCTTCCTACATCACTGGGACTGACTGCGATCAAGTCGATGGGTCCCTGCCACTCATGTGAGAGACCTAGAGTGAGTTCCCGCCTCCTAGACATGACCCCCTGGCTGTTGGTGGCATATGAGGAATGAATCAGTATATGAAAGCTCTCTTTCTGTCTCTCTCTTGGTTTTTCTCTACAACTCAGATTTCAAGACAATTAAAATGCTTGTGGAAAATAGGATTAAAAGCTAAGTTTATTGGGCTGGCGCTGTGGCGTAGTAGGCTAAACTTCCACCTGCGGGACCAGAATCCCATAAGGACACCGGTTTGAGTCCCAGCAGCCCCTCTTCTGATCCAGCTCTCTGCTGTGGCCGGGGAAAGCAGTAAAGGATGGCCCAAGTGTTTGGACACTTGCACCATTGTGGGAGACCTGGAGGAAGTTCCTGGCTCCTGGTTTTGGTCTGGCCCCATCCCAGCCATTGCTGCCATCTGGGGAGGGAACCAGCAGATGGAAGACCTTTCTCTCTGTCTCTCTCTCTTTCTGTAATTCTACCTCTCAAAAAAATAAATAAAACCTTAAAAGACAAAAAACTAAGTTTATTTTGATGTAAAAATATGAAGTCTGTGCACAGTTTTTCCATAACACATTTTCCATGAACTTTTTGAAGTATCCTTGTATATATGGCTTTGGAATTACAAACGGAGTCTAATTCTAGGTTCAGAGAAATTTAGAACAACCATGAGCTGTTACTGTATACTACTTAAGGCTAATACCTTTGAAATTCAGGCGTATAATTAGAATTCTTAGAAAGAGGTAGATTGTATAAATTAACTCCAGGGGAAAATTTAAGCACATAAATAACAATGACTAAAATAGTGGAAAAGAACTACCACCTAAGAATGTCACTGGGTTCCTATGATTTCGATAAGCAGTGTTTTCAAGTAATGGACCAATGTGATCACATTTGTTTCCAGCACATGGGAAAATGTGAAAATGTAATGGTAACTTTACTTTTGAAGTATATATAGATGGTTTACAGTTTACCATGGTTCAACTTATTTTTTTCCCTACTTTACAAGGGTGCAAAAATGGTATACACTCAGTAGAAACTGTACTTAGGATTTTGAACTTGGATTTTTTTCCTGGGCCTGTGCTAGGCTGTCCAGTCCCTTCTGGTGATGCTCCGGCTTGCAATCAGCCCATGGTCGTGAAGGGTAGCAAGCATGCTACACAGCACATGGAATTCCTGAGCCAGGATGGGTACCAGGTGAGGGGAATTAAATGCCTTAACATGGAAATATATGAGAGGATTTTAAAAGGTTTGTGAAACAATGGAATTAAAAGGTAAGTTTATTTTGGGACAAAAGATTTTATTGAGATTCATGAATAATTTTTTTATAATACACATTTTCTATGAACTCTTGGGAGACCCCTCCAAAGAGAAGTCGAGCATGGATTTTAAAAATCTCATGGACACAAATGAACTTATCTTTAACTTCATGTTCCATAACTTTTTGAAAGTGCCGTCTTCTCATCAATCGTTCTCAGCACTATTTGTGGGCCAGGTTGGAAGAAAAACAGTTTGCATATGGAAGCATTAAGCTTCCCCTTTCATCTTCTATCATGGTTTTCCCAGATGCCACCTCAACCCTTCTAGGGATGAATTCAAGTCATTTGAAAAAGTCTACGAAATGATTTTAATGGTGGGTGGCAGAATCAATGTTGGTGTCTGTACTTCAACGTCAAAGAGCAGTGAGAATTGTCAGTTTTTCATGCATTATATGACATGAATTTCACTCCCAAGAGCTGAGCAAAGCAGGCATTGTCACCTTCACCTCAGTGAATAAAAAAGTTATTTGGGCAAGGCCCAGCACATAGCAGCCAAGCTGGGCACGAAGCCCAGGTCTTCGGGTTGAAAGTCAATTGTCTTTCCACTGTACCAGCCCACCCCTGTTTAAAAGAGGAAGCTAAAGGAGGTCATGACCATGACTCCTAAGAAATGGGATCTTGTAGGAGAGATGATTTGAGGATTAAGCCTGGTTAGGTTCCCAGCCTGGCTGAGTAGAGCAAAGTTGACCTATGTTGACCTTGACTCCATAGTTGAGTGAATAGGAGTTCCTTCCTCACCCTGAGGGTCTCTGGTTACATGTAACATACTGGCGTGGCTCTTGTCTAGTGACAGTCCCTCACCCCCAAGACCCCTAGTATGTCAGTACTCTGGCAGCCCTCTGATCCCACGAGTACCAGGGACAGGCGCGTCATTTGCTTTCACTACCTTTTATGGCTTCTTTCACCGCAGAATCCACAGGAAGAATGTTCTTCTCCACCAGCTCCAGGGGCCCTGGCCGGAGAGCAATCTTCTCATTGAGATCATCCGCAAGTCGAGCTCTTTTCAGCTTCATCTGAGCAGATGGGAGGGACCTCTCTGCAGCGGAGGCTAAGGGGGTTGAAATGAAAAGGATCAGTTCTCGAATTTGATGCCTCCTTCTTCTTCTTCTTCTTTTTTTTTTTTTTTTTTTGTTTTTGGCTTGTGATTACAAAACATTGTGTCACGTCGTGCTCTACCATCCTAATAATTTTTCAATGCAATCATCATCGCTTCGCAGGGATTAGCACAGAAGACCAGACACTTCCAAATAAAGGCAAATAGAGAGGCACAGAGGAAAGCTAGAGAAACTTGCTTTGCGAGGATTTGTGAAAAAATGTGCACTTTGGCAATTTTGTAAGCAAGCCGTCCACGGGGGGCCCACGTTGCTTGCCTGACCCTAAGCTACAGGATTTGCATAGTGACTGGCACAAGCTAAGCCTGCAGTCAGTGTGATCTATTGTCATAATTAGAGAGGGGAGCATGACTTGTTAAAGGCTTTAGATTTTCAATGCTGTGACACCCCAAACATCCAGGTCAGTTGCAAAAGAGAAAAAAAAAGTCTCTTTGAAACAGTTATCTAGTTAGACTGAGAGATTTTTACAAATCAATACACCCAACAGGCAGTTTCTCCTCATTTAGGAGGTGAGAAAGGTCACACCTTCAGAGCTCTAATGCTGGTCCCATATGACACCAACTTCCCCTCTAAGTTGGGTCTTGACTTGATTGGAAGCAGAGCTTAAAGGAGAATCTGTGCAACCCATTTCCCCAGTGGAGAACCGTAAGTGAACATTCTATGAGAGTCCACAGACTCTCTGACAAATTTAGAATGTGGCAAAGTCTGCCAATGCCACTATTCTGTCATTGTTATCCTCACCATCCAGACCTTGGACCTGGGGGCTGATGCCGAACTGTCCATACAGGGAAGCTCTAGGGCTAGCTCACTGGTTGCAGCACATTGAGCTTATCCAGAAGCTGCAGGTGCAAAGCCCTTCACACAGGAAGGAGGGAACATCAGTGTTTAGATCAAAGAAGCCTGGGTTTAAATCCTCTCCAAACCACCCCGGAGGTCATTCCAAGGGCTCTCAGTTGAACCCTGCTTCAGAGATCTTGCTGATCCATCCCACCTGCCACAGAGGACTGATCATCCTTTCTTCTTCATCCTCCTGCACTTTGCTCCACTCACTCCAAGTTTACAAATGAAATTCACTTCCCTTTATGACCTGTGGCTCTGCATCCCAAACCCACCACTCCAATGATCCTGGTCATTTCCCCTCTACCCCCCATGCCTTACCAAGTTCCTTTCCCTACCCTGAGAAGCTTCCTGTCTACTCCCCTTCCACCTTCATTCTCCTTGCCTTTTAGGTCCCAGCCCGAGGCCCTCCTAACTCTCCCTGTTCTTACACATCACCTTTGCTTTGACTGCTTCTGTCAATTAAAAGCTCTGGCCTTTTGTTAGATGAACTCCTGGATGGCAGAGGCCACTTTGCGTCTAGCAGATCTTTGGTGCACTAGGGAGCTAGTTCCCAATTTCTGTTGGGGAGAAGAAGAGGATTCCATGAGACTCTGTTGGGGCAAATTTGGGGGCTGCTGGGGAAATTTAGGGTGTAAAGCAGTGGGTGAGAGATATGTCTATTTCTCTGCCTTTAAAAAAATCATTGTTCATAAATCTTTGTATGCCTTGTTATTTTCTTGGGCAAAATACTAGAAATTATATTACAGGGCTAAAAGGTGGGTACACTTTGAAGGATTTTATGCACATTGTTAAAACTACCCTCCAGAAATGTTGACCTGGTTGCACTCCCACCGGCCGTGTATAAGAATGTGTGTTCTATTCCTACCCTTGTGCATATTTTTGTTTTTATTTGCTACTTGATCACCGACAAGTCTGTATCTCATTTGAAATGGCATTTCTTGGATTATTTGTGCAGCTGTGAGTTTGTGCTGACACAGTAGCTGTTTCTAAGTTCTTAGACACCATTGCAGAGGAGGTAAGCATTTTGTCACTGTCCCCTAAGATCCTCTCTCCTCTTTGCCTAAGGCATATGGCATCCCTGGGATGCCTCATCGCGGTCAGTCTCACATTCCATGTAACCCCTTCCCTTGAATTCTACATTGCCTTCCTTTTCTCTCTTCCTTACATTGGAAATAGTTCTGCACGTAGAGCGGGAAGATAGCGGGAAGCCAGGATGAAATCAGAATTGATGCTGATCACAGAGCCAAGATTCACAGTTTTCATAATATTCCAGGATCATTCATACTACTTAAAGCTAGTGCAAGGAAGTCCAAGTCTTAGACAAATAGTGTCTGCGTCTCGTACATGCCGTTTCTTCAACCTGCCGTGCCCTTCCGAGGCCCATATTGCAGTTCTTTTTCTCACTCCTCCCCATGCTTTCTGATTAAAATGCCTCTCAGTTCCTCTCCCATGCATCCACAGCAACATACATTCCCTCTCTTGTCATGCTGGATTATAAACGCTGATTTTCGTGTCTGCCTACTCTGTTAGCCATGGAGGGCAGGAACCTCTGTCATCCTCATCATTGCACTCAGAGGCTCTCACAGAGCAGCCAGCCCCTAGCATGCATCCAACACAGTGTTTGTTCAATAAGTAAATACTCCATAGCTCAACTGTCAAAGGAGGCAGACACCAGTGTTCTGTGGGATTCCCATCCCAGGAACAGCAGCTCCTGAAGAAAGACTAGAAACCTCTGCTCCCTCATCCAAAGGTCCAGATATGGAGGCCAATTACGTATTTGCCCTGTCATGCACTCCCCATCATAGAGGCGGTAGCCTAAGGCACTGCAACTGAGCCTGCTTGGACCGGCACTGGTTTTCTCATCTTGGCAATCCCTGCATGCCAGGCGTCAGCAGCAAAGCAGAATCAAGCAGTTACCTAGAGGGTATGGAACCAGGTAAGGAGTCCCAATCACATTCCAAAGTGAGTGATGATCCAGATTAACAATACGAGGGCACTGCAAAAAGTTAAGAAGTTTGTGGAGATGGAATTAAAAGATAGGTTTATTTTGGAAGAAAAGAATTTCAAACCCATGCTTATGATGGGTCTTCAAAAAGCTCTTGAAAAACTATTATGCAAATACTATTGCTTGGGTTTCAAAATTTTTTTGCACCCAAATACATTTCTTTTAATCCCAATTTTCCATGAACTTTTTGAAAGACCCTCATAATTGGCACCATACGTGGGCACTTCCTATGTGATTTGCCTGAGACAGGGAGAGGCACAGCTGAGACTGGAACCCAAGCCTGAGACCTCCTTAACCACGAGACGGCTTGTAAGTCTGATTTTTCTACTTGGCTTAGAGTGCATAGAAGACTGACCGAAATGATCCCTTTTGGAAGGGCAGGGGACACTTTTTAAGAGGGCTTCGTAACTGCACAGCCACAAAAACCTTGGGGACAAGGGGCCCACGGTCTGACGGGCATCTCCGGGTTTTTCACTCTGCGCAGGCTTACCTTGGAGAATGTGCATATTAACCGAGTCGGCACGGTCGGACCTGTTTCTGGCCTTGCGCTTCAGGGAATCTTCAGTCTGTAGAACACAAGCATGGGGGTCACCCAGTTTTAACTTCAAGGAAAAAAAAATTCTCAGTTCCTCTCAAGGAGAAAAGTGCTCTATTTACAAGGGAAGGAACCTGCACATCTCCTTGGTCTTCCACAAGGAACTCTCACACAGGCCTCTATTGCAATTTTATGATGAGCGGATAAGGCGAAGAAGAATGGGTTCAGGTCCACACCAGGGCTACACACTTAAAAGTCCTTCAAGGGTCAGGCATGTATAGGTTAATAAAATATCACTGTGACCACCGTGATACTTGGGCTGCTTGTATTAGAACCAACCTTAGTCTACTGCATCTTATAATAGCCACGAGATTAACTCAGGTCACAGATAAGACATTGCCTGAATCCATCTAAAAGGGCAAGACAGTGTGTGTCCTTCTCCTGTTATTTGCCTGACATCTCTCTTGGGACTTGTGAGAATGGAAAGCCTTTAGACTCAGACCTACTCAGAGCTGGAAGGACATTTAGGGACAGGTCATTTCCTGAGTCTCTGCCTCTTTTTGATGGTAGAGCTGCTTGGAGGGATGTCAAGAGTAAGCTGGGGCCAACATGGAACCCCGGGTCCCCGATTTCCAGTTCTGGGTTTTACCCCAAGCGAGGCCTGAGGAATCACTCCAGCTCTGATAGAAGACACTCTGCTATTCTCTGCTATTCTTTAGGAGGTAGGAAAATAGCGACCCGTGAGCAGTTTTGAAGAGTTGCAGAGCTCTGCTCTTCCTGTCGACTTGTAGACAAGTTGCAAGGCTGGAATTCTCAGGCAAAGAAATCCAGCAGGCCTGTCCCCAACCTTGGGCCTCCCCTCCTCCCTCAAAGTGCTGGAGCTTGTTAAACAGTATTTATGTTATTGATAAAATTCAGGTTGCAGAGATTTGCTATGAAGGCAGAGGATATAACCCAATATCTGCCCTCAAATGCTCAAAACAAACACAGAAAACAGAAAGGTAAATAAGCATTCTTTTGGCCTGTGTGGAGCTGCAAATAAACTCTCTCTCTATAGATCCTGCCTTATCATTCAATCGGATTTAAGAAAATCTAACTGTTGCTTAGAGAGAACATTGCAATAAAGGGAGGGGTAGTTTGCAAACCAAATCTATTTCCCTTATTAAAGTATTTTGACCTTTAGTGCCTTCTTGCTGTGACTTTTTTTTTTTTTAAGTTAAACGATAAGTGTTTCAAAGCTAATATGGTTGGTCCTATTTCTACAGTTTTCAGTTAATAGGAATAAAATTCCACATGGTGTGAGGGCAGGGATCCGTCAATGGGTAGAGTTTGATGTAGAAACGTTATTCGTGTTGGCCAAAGTTTAGCATTCAGAGGTCCTATAGCCTACAGTCTAAGTTCAGGAAAGGTAGTCTGCAAAAATTACCTTGTCACTATCCAATTTTTTTCTTTGCTCATGGAATTCAGTTGGACTTTTCAATGCTGAAACAGAAAGACAAAGACATGAGCAGAGGCTGTGTGAAGGGTGTGGGTCAGTCTCGCAGGGTTTGTCGGTGGGCTTGCGGAGCTATGCATAGAATGGAAGTGATTGCCTTTTATTAGGCTACAAGCAATGAAAGAGGAAAGGCCTTGAGGGTGCCAGCTGCCCTGAAGCCAGATGAGACAGAGGAAGGTGGACATCAAGTCTAAGCCAGGACGAGCAGTAGAGGTGGAGCTTGAGACAAGAGAAGTGGTGGAGTTAGGGCCTTCCAAGTGCCTGAGAAAATAGAGAGGCTGGTGGAAGACTGACGACGGAAGTGACACTTTTGTTTGAGAGAGAGGGGTAGTCGGGCTAACTAACACTCTCTTCCACTTCCTTTGCTCTGGAGTGCAAAAGGCTGCATGGATAGTTGTGGTCTGGGGTGGGTGGCGGGCATATTGCAGGAAGGGACTGTATTTGGCATAAAGGACAAGTCTGCTGGGTTATGAGCATGCAACTTCAGGGCATTGAGTGAGAAGCAGAGAATCAGACTTTGAGGGGACTGGGAGGGATCTTGGAGATCGAGAAGTTCAAATCCAGCTCTGAACAGAATGGAGAAATTGAGGTCCACAGAAACGGACTGACCTACGTAGGGTCACACAGTTAGGGCTAGGAGCCTAGGCCTTCTAACCACTGTAATTTCTTTCAGAGCAGTAGGTTCAGAATTCAACAATCAGTAGACACAGGCACAGGTGAATAGCCATCAACCACCTGCACCACCTGCCAGTCTCCCTCTTCCCACTACATCCTTGCTTCACTCCGGGCATCTTTCCATTTAGTGAACTCTTTTGACTAAGCAAAGGAGTAGGACACCACTCAGAAAAATTCCCAAGTTTCTAGGTTTTCCTGTTCCCCTGGAACAATCTCTAGCAGTAGCCACAACTGCTTTCCATGGCAAGTGTTGAGGTTGGTCAGAGGTTACAGAATTACACTGATATTTCCTCCTACCCCCGCCTTGTACGTTTGGACAAGTTGATGGATCACACGATCTATAGTTCTAAGGTTACTTTAACAGATGTTAAACTGCAGGTGAGGAAGTGTTCTTCCGTATCTGGGCTGGCATAAAAATTAGATTTCTGGCCAGATCGTTTGGAACCCTATGAGTGTAGGGTGGGAGGTAGGGGTGGGTTCCTTATTCAGTCCTTAAGGATGTGCTAAATCTGAGCATAGTGTACAGCAGGACACAGCTGTGGTCTTGGTGGCAACCATAATGGTGGCCAAACATATTATCTTGTATTCTTGTGGCTACTTGGGATGCTCATAGGCAGTGATCGCTATAAATTCCTCTGCCTCACCCCAACATTAACAGTGTTGACCAAAGGAACATGCGAAATAGTACCAGCTGACTGCCTTGTGCCAAATATAGTTGGTTGGTACCCTTCTTATTGTGACCAGAGGTGAAGGTTTCTCTTCTTATAGGGGGGATGAAACTCAAAAAAAGAATATGAGGCTTGAGTGCCCCACTTACCACTGATCTAGCACCAGTTTCTCTTTGGCTTCTGTGTTTTATTTATTTTTTTGACAGGCAGAATTAGACAGTGAGAGAGAGAGACAGAAAGGCCGTCCTTCTGTTGGTCCACCCCCCAAATGGCTGCTACGGCCGGCGCGCTGCACCGATCCAAAGCCAGGAGCCAGGTGCTTCCTCCTGGTCTCCTGTGCGGGTGCAGGGCCCAAGCACTTGGGCCATCCTCCACTGCCTTCCTGGGCCACAGCAGAGAGCTGGACTGGACGAGGAGCAATTGGGACAGAACCCGGTGCCCCAACTGGGACTAGAACCTGGGGTGTCGGTGCTGCAGGCAGAGGATTAGCCAAGTGAGCTGTGGCACCGGCCTGTGTTTTATTCTTAAAAATGAGCTTGTCTGCCCAATCTGTCCCTGTAGATGGCCCTCCCCTCACTCCCACCATTTCGCCCCACTCACTAAGAAATAAATGGGAGCTTTCCTGTGTGGCCCAGGCATTGTTTTTGATTTGGGATCTGCCACCAAAGAAAAGTTTTGCATTTTCTTGCATTTGAGCATGGTGGCAATTTATGTTGAGGGTGTTCTGAAAAGCTACCCTATTTCCTCTGGGGAAATCTGATTATCCAAAGTGCACTGTGCCCTTCTGAGCCTGGACAATCTGCACCAATAGGTCTTGGGCTCTCACCTATGGTCTACTTGTCTCTTAATTAGTTTTATATCTAGGCATGGCTTAATTGCTCCCATAATCCCAAAAAGAAATAGTCTTTGTGTGGCTTTCCTAAGTGATTAATAAGAATAATGCACCCTTTTCCTCAAGAGGCTCCCCCATGGGAATGGTGTGGATAAATTTGATATAGCTCTTCCATTGCAAATACAATTGGTTTTAATAGGACTTGGGGCTTACAAGGAATGTGTCTGATTTTCTTGTCCCCACGGCTCTTCAATTCCTATTAGTGGAGCTTATTAATTATTCTAAGACACATTGCCTTCCCTGTTTCTTAGCTTTATAGAGCTACAGTTCATCACTTCTTAGTGTTAACAACTCCCCTGTGAAATGATTCACACAGTCCAGTTCTCGAATGCCAGGAGCACAGAGGTCTTCTGGAACCTTCTACTCCAGGAGTGGGAGGAGTTATGTCTCTTTAAGAAGGATTCAAGGGAAAAAAAAAAAAAAAAAGAAGGATTCAAGGGCCGGCGCTGCGGCTCAACAGGCTAATCCTCCGCCTAGCGGCGCCTGCACACCGGGTTCTAGTCCCGGTCGGGGCGCCGGATTCTGTCTCAGTTGCCCCTCTTCCAGGCCAGCTCTCTGCTGTGGCCCAGGAGGGCAGTGGAGGATGGCCCAAGTGCTTGGGCCCTGCACCCCATGGAGACCAGGATAAGTACCTGGCTCCTGCCTTCGGATCAGCGCGGTGTGCCAGCCGCAGCGTGCCGGGTATGGTGGCCATTGGAGGGTGAACCAAAGGCAAAGGAAGACCTTTCTCTCTGTCTCTCTCTCACTGTCCACTCTGCCTGTCAAAAAAAAAAAAAAAAAAAAAAAAAAAAAAAAGGAGGATTCAAGAGGAATGCCAAGGAGGTCCACACACTGTGAATACCACATGGTCTTCTCCTCGGGGCTCACAGAGTGTTATTTGGGGCACTGGTTTGAGGTCACACCATGGAAAACTACCCTGCCACGGCCCTGGGCTGAGGTCTGAGGTTCGTGTTTTCCGTGACTCTGGAGAATGTGGGTTTTAGCCACTTCCCCTGAGGGCCCACAAAAGCCACAAGGCCCCCTTCCCCTAGTCAGCTTTTTGGAAAATACACAGAGGATCACTTTTGCTGGCAGCCTTGGGAGTATCAAATGGCAAACTTTTGTATTTAAAGGACATTGACATTTAAGATGGAAAAGGAATTTGGACTTTTAAATTAAAAAAATAAGTCCGTGCGATTTCAAATTAAAATACGGTCATAAATTCAGTCAGCCACACATCGAACTCGTCCCCCTTGGAAGAAGATTAATGGCTCCTCACAGGGGAATTCAACGTTCTCGCCTCAGAGTTTAGTTGTGGGCTATTCCTATTTCTGTCCCCACAGCTCTGGCTAATTTGGGTCAGCTGTGTATATAAACATTTGCTTACTTAGAGCTCAGAGAAAGATCCCGAGATAAGAACAGGCCTCCTGCAGCTCCCTTCTCTCCACTCTACCCTCATGCCTCCAAGGAGATCCCAGACAAAGGAGGAAAGGGGTGGGGGAGGGTGGAAGCCCAGGCGTTGGGAGCTCAGGGGCCTGAGCCTTCAGCACAGGGCAGTGTCTGGAGCTGGGCAGCAGCCCTGGCAGCAGAGCAGGGCTCTGCCTACTGCAGGGCCTGGCTTCCAGTAAGAGGACCCTTCACTACCAGGCTGCTGGGAGTCCAGCGCCGCTGGTACCAAGGATGAGGATCAAGAGGTAGAGCCAAAGAGCAGGAAGAGACTTGGAGCAGCAATCGTGCAGTGGTTCTCAAAGTGTGGGCCCTGGACCAGCAACCATCGTGATGACTGGATATGTATAGGAAACTCCAATTCCTGGGTCCTACCCTGACCTACAGAATCAGGAACTCTGAGGGTAGGACTTGGCGATGTGTGTCATAAAAAGCCTTCCAGGTGGTTTTGCTCTGTAAATTTGAGTACCACTGCTGTGGAGTTAATAAGGCCACTGAGTCCTGATCTGGGGTCCTTGGGAATCTGGGAGTTCAAGAAGGGAGCCCTGGAATTCCAGGACTGATTTTCAGTATTTCAACAAACTGAAGATGAAGGCTATGTTGGCACAGAGAAAGGTTGCTTAGGCTAATGAAACTTATTTTTCCATTCCTCCTGCTTGGATTCATAGCAATATTGTTTAATAATGGTTGTCTCAAGAGAAAGTACAGACTGGTAAACCTGTATGCCATTGATTAAATTAAAACAGGTATCTGGATTAATACTTAATGCCTGGATTAATAATTAATACTTAAGGGGAAAGACAAAAAATCTCAAATGTAAGATCTGTGGTACATGGGTATAATTCAAGAAGACTTGGATGATCAAAAATTGAGGAATCGCCCATTGAATTCTGTTCTTGCTTTGTCATTTTTTTTTTTGGGGGGGGGGTTTAATCTTGAATAGTCTGGTAGTCTTCCTGTGCTGTTTCCCACTTAACAAAGTGGGCTTAGTAATGCTTGTCTTTTAAAGACAAATTGGACAATGAGCACTTTTCTTTGGAACAAATGAGATACATGCTAGTCATAAGGGATAGTGCTTTGCAAGTTATGGTCTTTCTTTAGGTTGTTCATAAATTGCTTATTCAATACCCAAACGACAGTATTAGGAGCAAGAAAACAGTGCTATTCCCAAGCAACCTTGTGATATGTAAGACTTGGCTTGAGCGGTTGAGCATTTGTTGCAACCTATAAGAATACTTTGAAATTTCTTGGAAGCTGGGTACAGAGATAAATTAAAAGCGTGTTTGTAATTGCTCGTTTTCTACTTGATAAGGAACAGGGCACTGGACAAATGAAAGAGGTGAGAGAAAAGAAGAAAGTTAGGACTGTTGACGCAAATGGGCTTGGCATGAAAATCCAGGGTTCCTTTTTCTCTCTCTGAATTTGAGATGTTAGAAAGAAGGGCAGAGGCAGATAGATTAATCCTCTTGTGCTGTGTTCTGCTCAAACAGCCAACAGAGTGTGGTAGGGAAAAGCCAAGTCAAATGGATGCACTGAGAAAAGGAAGAGAGACTTTGTCCAGTCAACTTCTCAAAACTATCGAGAGGCTGCGTGGAGTGTGGGTGCAGGAAATGCCCCGGCCATTCTTCGTGCTTTTCAGAAGCATCACAGAATTCAGGGATTTACCCAGGCTTTGCAGTAAGTATGTGCCTGCTGTAGCTTGGATTAGTCTGCAAAAAAAATAAAGGCAGCACCATTCATAGACAACTCATTGCATCTTGAAACTCATCGACATTGATCAGATCTTGGGACCAAGCTACCCAGACATTTCCTTCTGGGACAGTAGTGATTTTCTCTAGATTCTCAGGACAAATGGCAGCCTCTCTGGGCCTCACATCCTCCAAAATCCATTTTAGTTTTCCAATCATGTCTTCTGTATTCCAGGAAAATGAGCTAACATTTCCTCCTATCTCCCATGTGTTCAACCACAATAGACTGTTAGTAGCAGAGGGAGAGAAAAAGTCATGTCTTTCCTTCATGGTTTCTTTTTTTTTGACAGGCAGAGTGAGATAGTGAGAGACAGAGAGAAAGGTCGTCCTTCCTTTGGTTCACCCCCAAAATGGCCGCTACAGCCAGTGCACTGTGCCAATCCAAAGCCAGGAGCCAGGTGCTTCTCCTGGTCTCCCATGCGGGTGCAGGGCCCAAGGACTTGGGCCGTCCTCCACTGCACTCCCGGGCCACAGCAGAGAGCTGGCCTGGAAGAGGAGCAACCAGGACAGAATCTGGTGCCCCGACCGGGACTAGAACCTGGGGTGCCGGTGCCGCAGGCGGAGGATTAGCCTAGTGAGCTGCGGCGCCGGTCTCCTTCGTGGTTTCTAATACCTACTCTCTCATACTGGCTTAATGTTCAGAATCTTCCAGGTAACAAATGGGCCTGATGGGGGCCCCTTCTAGACTGTAAGCATTTTGAAACAGAAGTCATGTCTGATTGCTGTGGGTAGTCCCCAGAGTCTTCCTCAGACTAGTCAATACATACTTACTCAATCACTCTATGATCATTTGAATGAGTCCAATTCACATAGTTGCTCATCTAACACTAAGGCCTCAGAAGTGGTTGGAATCAAATGATGTCATTTAGAGTCTACCTAGGGGGCTGACACTGTGGCCTAGGGGGTAAAGCTGCCGCCTGCAGTGCTGGCATCTCATATAGGCACTGGTTTGAGTCCTAGATGCTCCAACTTCCAATCTAGCTCTCTGATGTGGCCTGGGAAAGCAGCAGAAGACAGCCCAAGCCCTTGGCCTCTGCACCTGCATGGGAGACCAAGAAGATCCTGGCTCCTGGCTTCGGATCAGCGCAGCTCTAGCCGTTGCAGTCAACTGGGGAGTGATCCAGAGGATGGAAGACCCCCCCGCCCCGCATCTCCTTCTCTCTCTGTGTAACTCTTTCAAATAAATAAAATCTTAAAAAACAAAGATTAGGGCCCAAATTTCATCACTTCATAGTACAGCTTTAAAAAAAAAAGTCTACCTAGGAGAATGATGCCAGGGAAAAAGAACTCTGTGGGTGAAAAGGTGCACTGGGAATGATGGCTAGACCCCAACACAACAGGCCTATAAGGGGCAAAGGTTGGAGCTGTCTTAAGGCCTTGAGAAAGTGAAAATCCTGTATGTCTTCACGTCCCTTGGGCCCAAAAGGAAGGGATAAGGAAGCCATTCTCCTTTGAACACTAGATTTGATGGCAAAGTAAGCAATTTGAAATCTCCACTTTGAGTTTGGCACAGTGGCTAAAATGCCACTTGGGATTCCTACATCTCATATCAAAGTGCCTGAGTTCAAATCACAGTTCTGTTTCTGATTCCAGTTTCCTGATAATGCACACCACGGGGAGCAGCAGTGATGGCTTAACTAGTTGGGTCCCTTTTACCTACATGGAGATTTTTTTTTTTTAAGATTTTATTTATTTATTTGAAAGGTAGAGTTACAGACGGAGAAAAAGAGAGAAAGATCTTCCATCTGCTGGTTTATGCCCTAAATGGCCAAAACAGCCAGAGCTGGACCAATCCAAAGCCAGGAGCCAGGAGCTTCTTCCAGGTCTCCCATGTGGGTTCAGGGGCCCAAGGACTTGTGCCATCTTCTACTGCTTTCCCAGCCCATAGCAGAGAGCTGGATTGGAAATGGAGCAGCCAGGACTTGAATAGGTACCCATATGGGATACTGGCCTCACAGGTGGAAAGCTTAGCCTACTGCACCACAGCACCAGCCCCTCATGCGAGGATTGAATTCTTGGTTCCCAGCTTCAGCCTAGTCCAGCTCTGGCTGCTGTGGGCATTTTGAAAGTAAATCAGGGGCCGGCACTGTGGTGTAGCGGGTTAAGCTGCAGCCTGCAGTGCTGGCATCCCATATGGGCACTGGTTCATGTCCTGGCTGCTCCACTTCCAATCCAGCTCTTTGCTACGGCCTGGGAAAGCAGTAGAAGATGGCTCAAGTCCTCAGGCTCCTGCATCCACATGGGAGACCTGGAGGAAGCTCCTGGCTCCTGGCTTCGGATTGGTGCAGTTCTGGCTGTTGTGGCCAGTTGGGGAGTGAACCAGCGAATGGAAGACCTTTCTCTCTCTCTGCTTCTCCTTCTCTCTCTGTGTAACTCTGACTTTCAAATAAATAAATAATAAATCTTTTAAAAAAAGACTGAAAAAAAATAAAGTAAAGCAGTGGATGGAATCTCTTTCTCTCACTTTAAATACATAAAGAATTAAAAAAATAATTTGGGCTGGGCAGTTAGCTCAGCAGTTAATATACCTGCATCCGAGTTTCTGGGTTCAATTCCTTATTCCTATGCCTGACTCTACCTTCCTTCCAAAACAGATTCTGGGAGACAGCAGTTATGGTTCAGGTAGCTGGGTTCTGGTTAGCCATGTGGGACACCTACACTGTATTCCTGACTCTTGACTGGTCCAGCCCCAGCCATTGTAGGTATTTGAGGAATAAACAAGTGGTTGGTTAGGAACTCTGTTTTTCTGCCTCTTACACCAAATTTAACAATTTTTTTAAATTTGTTGCTGTGGACTATTGGTTATTCAGCAAGTTCAAAAGCTGTAGGATACATGCCCAGAAAGAGGGACGGAAGAAAACTCAATCTATTTGGACTAGTTTCACTAGTCAACTGAGAATTGTTTTCTGTTCCTTTTCTTTCCTTAAAATTTATTTGAAAGGTAGAGTTACATACATACATACATACATACACACACACACACACACACACAGAGAGAGAGAGAGAGAGAGAGAGAGAGAGAGAGAGAGAGAGATTGATTGATCTATCATCTGCTGGTTCACTCCCCAAATAGTTGCAACAGCCAGGGCTGGGCCAATCTGAAGCCAGGAGTCAGGAGCTTCTTCTGGGTCTCCCATGTGGGTGCAGGGGCCCAAGCACTTGGTCCAGCTTCTGTTGCTTTACCAGGCACATTAGCAAGGAGCTGGATTGGAAGTGGAGAAGCTGGGTCTCAATCCAGTGCCCAGATGGGATGCTCACATCACAGACAGCTCCTTAACCCACTATGCCACAATGTCAATCCCTTACACTTGTTTTCAGCTCCTTAGAGTCAGCAGAGGAGAAATCTTAGAATTTATCATCAATTTGGAGTGCAGTTGAAGTGAGCTCTGCAATATGGCTAAATCTAGGGAGTTTTCCACTCAATATTGGTCATTGTGTGACACAGACTTGTTAGTTTATCCTTGGCATTTTCACACATTCATTTTTACTTTTTTCCAATTCCAGCTAAATTTCTGGGCTACCAGATGCTTTCTGATGGAAACCTACATAAGTGCTTTGAAAGGCCAAGTGCTTGCTTTTGAACATTTGAGAAAAGTTAGAGGTCAAGAGACACAGACTCTGCCCTCAGCGCTGCCACCAAAGGAGGGAGCTGCATTTTTTTTTTTTTTTTGACAAGGGACAAGTTCTAGAAATTTAATCTAATGTAAAAATCAAGATGGGTTCTGCTAAAGAGCAGCAGGTATTTTTGTTGACTGGTTAAGAATAGTACTTCTAGTATGATAATAACCTAAACTCAACTGACAATTCACATGGCTGTCAGCTTTGGATTTAAGCAATTTATGATAAGCTTTAGAATCTGGGGAGGATGGCAATTATTTGAGATTTTATGAATATTTTTCTCTTGCATGCATTTAAGTTCTCGTAAGTTGAATCTGTAGAAAATGAAGCAACATCAGACTCGGCTTCGGGACCTCTGAAAACTCTCTTCCGTCTCTTCAACCGCAGCTTTGTGTATGTCAAGGACTTATGGGCATTGAATGAGGTCACAGGTCTTTGGACTCTGTTCTGAAGAGAACCAGCCTGTCAGAGGAGATTCTCATGGAACGATGAGGGGAGAATCTTCTGGAAACAATGAGGGGGAGAAGCCAGGGCAGAGGCCATCACTGTCATTTCAGACAATGATACAGAGGGACTTCAACAACTTTGTGAAAAATAGAATTAAAAGATAAGTTTATTTCAATGTAAAAAATTTTGAAGCCCATGCATTTTTTTCCTTTTTTTTTAATTTGACAGAGTTAGACAGTGAGAGAGACAGAGAGAAAGGTCTTCCTTCTGTTGGTTCACCCCCCCAAATGCTGCTACGGTTGGAGCTACACCGATCCAAAGCCAGGAGCCAGGTGCTTCTTCCTGGTCTCCCACGTGGGTGCAGGGCCCAAGCACTTGGGCCATCCTCCACTGCACTCCTGGGCCACAGCAGAGAGCTGGACTGGAAGAGGGGCAACCAGGACTAGAACCAGGCGCCCACATGGGATGTCAGCACCGCAGGCAGAGGATTAACCAAGTGAGCCACGGTGCCAACCATGCATTTTTTTTCCCATAATTTCCTATGAACTTTTCAAAGATTCTGCATTTATAAAACTTCTTTAACAAGTAAAAAAAAAACACACACAGAACTAGATGATCTCTGAAGACTATTAGATTTTCTTCCTTCCTTTCTCTCCCCTTCCTTCCTCCTTTCCTCTTCTTTGTTTCAAAAATTCCAAATATAATGAGGAAACAAAAAGTCTTCTTGTGGAATACAATGAGTTAAATATTCAATTATACATACTCGTGTTTCTTATTACCTTTATTTGACAGATATATAGAGAGCATTCCCATCCACTGGTTTACTACCCCCAATACCCATGGTAGCCTCTGTCTGAGGCTGAAGGTGAGAGCCAGGAACTCAGACCAGTCTCCAACAACAGCAGGAACCCAGTCGCTGGAGCCCATCTGCTGCCACCCAAGGACTACATTTGCAGAATGCTAGAGTCAGGAGCCAAAGCCAGGCATGGAACCCAGGTATTCTAATATGGGCTGTGGGTATCCTCTTTTTTTTTTTTTTTTAAAGATTTGTTTTATTTATTTGAAAGGCAGAGTTAAAGGGAGGGGGAGAGGGGGAGAAGGGGAGAGGAGGAGGGGGAGAGGGGGAGAGGGAGAAAGAGAGAGAGAGATTGTCCATCTGCTGGTTTACTCCCCAGATGGCAGCAATGGCTGGGGCTGGACAAGGCTGAAACTAAGAGCCAGGAACTTCATCTGGGTCTCCCACGAGGGTGCAGGAACCCAAGTACTTTGGCCATCCTCTGCTGCTTTTCCAGGTACATTAGCATGGAGCTGGATTGGAAGTGGAACAGCTAAACCTGAAAAGCTACCCATATGGGATGCCGGCATTGCAGGCGGAGGCTTTACCCACTCTGCCACAACAATGACCCCTGGGACATGGGCATTCTAACTGGCATCGTAACTGGCATCCTAACACCTGGGCCAAATACTTTCTCACTTAAAACCTTGAACTCTCTCTGAAGGGCCATCTTGTTCATTATTGTTGTCCCTCTAGTATCCGGCACAGTGCCCGTACATAATTCTTGTTTGGGATAAAATTTGTCGAATTAGACCAACTGGAGATGATCCTGAGACTCTCTGCTCCTCTTTGCTTGTCCCCATTGCATTTCCACAGGTGCCCTTAGCAGCCTGAAGGAACACACTGCTCTGCACCACAGAGATTGTGAGTTTCGTGTTTTTGTCTCTGCTTGGGTTGAAGACGCCAACTCCCAGCAGGTGGAGATGCACTGTGGGTCTTGCTTTCCAGGAAGAGCTAAGTAAAGAAAGTCTGTCCAGGCAGGGCCTGTGGTGTGTGCCCTCTGTGCCTTGCACATGTTGCCCCGGTAGAATCTCTGTCCTTGCAAAGTCAGGTGGAGAAGAGATAGCTGCAGACTAGGGAAAACCTTCATCATTTTGCATAATTTATTCTCTGTAGGATGTTTTCCTCTGGGAAATTATCTTAATGATGCCATCAACTTCAGATGCAAAATGCTGACTTTGTAATATTTTATTACTATTTATGTTATTTGATTCTTGAAACCCCAACAAACAAGATTTGATATCTCCACTGGACTCTTACTACCCAAATGCATGTTTGATTTACACAACTTATGCGAGAAGCTTTTTGTAAAATTTATCATAGGGTACACTGTTATCTTTAGTGGGTGTTTTAATGATCCTCAAATTAAACCCTTACACCTAAAAAAAATGTTGATTTCTATCCAAATGCCTTCTGTCAGACCCAGGCTCAGGGCATCTAACCACTTGGGTTGAATTTTAAATCAATTGTGAAACACCTCGGGTAGAAAAAAGTCCTGAGTGTACCTGCTCCACGTTTCTTGCTGCAAGGGGACAGATGAGCAGCTTTGAGTGAATTCCTGTTTCCTTGATCCGACTTCTGCGGACCCTGGTTTCTGTCTTAAGCCTGGGCAGGAAGGCTAAGAGGACAGGCTCCCCAGAGACTTCTTTTGGTTCCTCCCCTTCGCTGTAAACGTTGCTTAAACACCCTTGAGGTTGCAGCATCAGCTTTCTTCAGTGTTTGGCAAATCTCTAAACAAGTCCTTCCACTGTCAGATCACCTACTGTTTACTGTTGATAGGGCTTAGCTGAGAACAAAGGCTGACTTTTGATTTACAAAAATTCTTCCTTCTGCTCTGGCTCTGCACTTAACATTTTTTTTGTTGTTGTTGTTGAGCTTGGGCCCTGGGGCTCCAGTATCTCTGCCCACAGGACTCTGTCAAGGTCAAACTTGCACTTGTTTCTTACCAAATATGAAGTCATAGGTATGATGCTTTTATGCAGAGACCCGAACTTCTGCAAGTTATTGTGGCTCCCGATTTCAAAATTTTATCGAGAAAGAGACTAGAAGGTATAACCCAGAATATTTTACACCTGTGATTTCATTCATTCAAGGCACCCTTTGGCCCCTTATTTCCATAAATAACCAAGAATGAGCTTGAATTGCTGACTTGAAAGGAAATTTCAAATACATATATTTTAAAAGATGGGCTAACCCTTCTTCTTTGACTCAGATTGTCACCAATAATTCAGTATTACACCAGTTGTGCTAAAATGATATTGCTAACCAATTTTCCAGAAAGGGAACAGCTGACAATATTCGATTAATTGTGGGCTCAAATACACCAAATAGAACCGTAACCAAAGAAGTGAGAAAAAGATTACCCGATAGATGCTTCTGCAACAAATAGCAATTGTATCCAACATTAAAAGTAGGTAGAGGGTGAGGGATACCTGTAATGAATTGTATTTACCCCAAGAACAAATGAATCACATTGGAATTTTAGGCATAGTTAATACTATTAAAGGAAAGTACCTTGTAGGTGAATAGAGACTGGGGCAAAGCATCCCGGGGTTGGGATTTCTGCTGGCACCAATTCTATGAGGCTCACACTAAACAGCCTCTGAGGCACTTTCCAGCTCCCTCATGCTCCCCGCAGCCCCATGGTCATTGACAAGTGCATAAGAGATGCAGGTACTCACGTGGTATTATGCCTTGGTTAGCCAGTTGTTCCTGGGTCCTTCTCTGTTGAAGTCGTAACTGTAAAACTTAGAAAAGGAAGCATTCATTTGTAAGTTGGACTAAATGCAACTTCCATCACATGTATTCATCATCTTATTGCTAGCCTAGCTCTGGACACTACCATGAAGTGCCTTTTTTTTTTTTTTTTTCTGTTGTAGACATAGAGGAGGATAACAGAAGAGAGAGAAAAGAGTTGAGAGGTTGCAGGGTTTGTCGCAATTTGGTAACACGCTGGGATTCCAAACCTTGCCTAATCTGTGCAGTGAATGCCGTCTGTGAATGCAGCTCTCCCCGCTCTACCGTTTGTGAGATGGCTATCATCAAATTCTGCTGGGGTGGCAGCCTCTGACTTCATCACGGGAGACAGAGAGAAAACAACATGGGCTTTGGTGCCCTACCTGGGTTCAAATCCAGCCCCTACCTCCTTATGAGACATGGGACCCTGGGGAAGTTGTACATGGGAACTGTGTCCACATTGTGGTTTTACAACAACATATGATAAAGCAAATGCACGCACCTTGCTTAGCATAGTGGTCGACACGTTTTATGTCATCAGTAAATGCTAGTGTGATGAGAATCTGGAATTCTTTGGAGGATTAAAAAAAAAGCTATTGGATTTATGCTTTATACATAAAACTTAAAATATGATAAAACTTGGCTGGCGCCGCGGCTCACTAGGCTAATCCTCCGCCTGCGGCACCGGCACACCGGGTTATAGACCCGGTCGGGGCGCCGGATTCTGTCCCGGTTGCCCCTCTTCCAGGCCAGCTCTCTGCTGTGGCCCGGGAGTGCAGTGGAGGATGGCCCAGGTCCTTGGGCCCTGCACCCGCATGGGAGACCAGGAGAAGCACCTGCCTCCTGGCTTCGGATCAGCGCGATGCGCTGGCCGCAGCGCACTGGCCACGGCGGCCATTGGAGGGTGAACCAACGGCAAAAGAAGTCCTTTCTCTCTGTCTCTCTCTCTCTCACTGTCCACTCTGCCTGTCAAAAATAATAAAAAAAAGATAAAACTTTCTAAACTATAATCTATATTCTAGGTGTAGATATGTGTATACACATGCCATATATGCTATACATTTTTAACACAGATTTATATCTTATAGGCATAGTCATTGTAATATATATTGTGAATGCAGTATTTGCAGCTCTCTCCTGATTCTCACCTCTCCCCCAATATATATATATGTATATATATATATATTTATTTAAAATTTTTGATCTATTTGAGAGGCAGAGTCACAGACAGTGAGCAGGAGAGAGCGAGAAAAGTCTTCCATCCCCAGGCACACTCCCCAAATGGCCACAATGGCCAGAGCTGGGCCAATCTGAAGCCAGGAACCAAAAGCTTCCTCCTGGTCTCCCACGCAGGTGCAGGGGCCCAAGCGCCTGGATCATCCCTCACTGCCCTCCCAGGCCACAGCAGAGAGCTGGACTGGAAGAGGAGCAGCAGGGACTAGAACCAGCGCCCATATGGGATGCCGGCACTGCAGGCAGAGGATTAACCCACTGAGCCACAGTGCCGGCACCCCTCATACATTTTTTTCAGATTTGTTTATTTTATTTGAAAGGCAGAGTTACAGAGATAGAGAAGGAGAGAGACAGAGAAAGAGAACAATCTTCCACCTGCTGGTTCACTCTCCAGACGGCTGCAACAACCAGGCTTGGGCCAGATTGAAGCCAGAAGCCAGGAACTTCTGGGTCTCCCACGGGGGGTGCAAGGACCCAAGCACTTGGGCCATCCTTTGCTGCTTTCCCAGCCTCATTAGCAGGGAACTAGATAGGAAGTGGAGCAGCTGGGATATGAACCAGTGCCCATATGGGATGCCAGTATTGTAGGCCACAGTTTAACCCACTACACCACAGAACTGCCCACCCTCCAACCCCCAGCACATTTTATTTTGGACCTTCTACCTCTCCCTCTGAATATTCCATTTTCCTAGGGATACCTGTAGTTTGCCATCTTGGTCCCCAGGTTTAAGTTGGCAGCATAAGGATAAGGATGCAAAGAACTGTAGTTTGCAAACAGAAGGGTTAATTTAAGGAGCAAAGTGAAAGGGGCGAGCAAGTACTGCTTTTATGAAGACAGCATTCGAATGAGGGGAAGAGGAGCAAACGTGAAAAGGCTGTGCAGGCTGAATTTCAAGTTTGTTCAGTCTTTCAGGGCGAGGCTCCAGCGCAGTCCTATGATATGAGTGGGTCTTCATCTGCCTTCTTTGGAAGAGACGAATACTGCTTGAATCACTACGAATTAATTTTGGTTGCTTGACTGGGTTTCACTAGAGAAGCCTCATTGCACCTCCCATTAATTAGACCAGACCACAAAGAGGACTGAATTGCTTGTGTAGTGCACAGATGACAATGATAGGAGAGTTTTGCTGTTTAAGCCCCTTCCACAACAACCCTCCCGTTAATCAAAGCTATAAGCTCCCCGCATACTATGAAAAAGAATGACTTGAGGATTCGTAAAGAAAATCAGGCAGGTGCCGGAGGGAAGTCAAAACATGGAGAAATGACTTGCATGAGGGAGAATTTCCCATGGGGGGTTGGGGGGAACCCTGAGGATGGCCTATAGTGATGAAGTGGCAGTCACAGGGAGCTAAAACTCAAGGGAAGCCCAAAACCAAACCCAAAAATCAAGGGTTGGAGCTATGGTGAATGGGTTAAACTTCTGATCCAGTTCCTTGCTACTGCACCTGGGAAAGCAGTGGAAGATGGCCCAAGTGCTTGGGTCCCTGCCACCCACATGGGAGACCTGTTTAGAGTTCCTGGTTCTTTTTTTTTTTTTTATTTATTTTATTTTTATTTTTTTTTATTTTTGACAGGCAGAGTGGACAGTGAGAGAGAGAGACAGAGAGAGAAAGGTCTTCCTTTGCTGTTGGTTCACCCTCCAATGGCCGCCGCTGCAGCCGGCGCACCGCGCTGATCCGATGGCAGGAGCCAGGATCCAGGTGCTTTTCCTGGTCTCCCATGGGGTGCAGGGCCCAAGCACCTGGGCCATCCTCCACTGCACTCCCTGGCCATAGCAGAGAGCTGGCCTGGAAGAGGGGCAACCGGGACAGAATCCGGTGCCCCGACCGGGACTAGAACCCAGTGTGCCGGCGCCGCAAGGTGGAGGATTAGCCTATTGAGCCACGGCGCCGGCCGAGTTCCTGGTTCTTGGCTTCAGTCTGGCCCAGCCCTGACGATGGTGGCCATTTGGGAAGTGAACCAGTGGATGGAAGACTTCTCTCTTTCTGTGTCCTTGCATTTCAAATAAATACAAATTTTAAACAAAAATTTAAACCACAGATCAAAAAATAACCAAAGAACTGCTCATTTTTTTAGCCCAAGGGGCCAGGAAAGGTGACCAGATGACTATGGCTTGACAGTCAGCAAGTGGCAGGAAAATTGGCCAGCAGGGGGAGCCAGAGAGAGGAGCCTCCAATCCTGTGTATGAACCCCACGAGTATCAGGTTCATCCCTTTGAGACTTTTCCATAGAACAGGCTTACGATAACACGGCAAAGAATTTTTGCAAAACAAATTATTCAATTTGAGGTTGTTCTAGCTGATGGCTGAAGATAGCATTTTTTTTATATGTTGATGTATTTCATTTTTTTTTATTCTCTATTGTCTTCTTTCTACCTCTCCCCTCCCCCAACTCTGTCTTGAGATTTTTCTGGCATGTTTCTGGAGGTTTCAAAGGAAATCAGTTTCATGGAAAAAAAATTAAATTCACATTTGAGCCTACATACACGTTAAGGCCAAAGAGAACTTAAAGCTTAAATCTACCTGTATTAATTGTGCGCTAAAACAAATAAAAAACCCAACAAACCAGCATTCTCCAAGGGATTATGACAATTCAGAGGCTGTGTAACATGGCACTTACAATGTGTAGGATATAATCTGAAATCACTCTTTACATAAATTGAGGAACTGCAACCCACTGTGAATGCAAAGAGAATCAGCAGATGCTAACCAGAAGATCAGAATTGGAATTACCAGATTGGACTTACTGGACAAGTAGTTATTAAGGTAGGTTTAAAACCTTTATTGATTTTTCGTTTACTTGGAAGGTGAATGACAGAGAGAGAAGGAGAGACAGAGATAGATACACGCTATTTGCTGGTCTACTCCCAGCCAGGGTTGGACCAGGCGGAAGCTGGAAGCCAGGAGCTCCGTCATCCGGGTCTCCCATGTCGGTGACAGGGGCCCAAGCACTTGAGCAATCGTCTGCTACCTCTCAGGGTGCATCAGCAGGAAGCCGGGTCAGAAGAGAGTGGCTGGGACTTGACCTAGCACTGCAGTATGGGATGTGGGCAGCTTAAATCCACTGCACCCCGACACCAGTCTCAGTCACCCTTTCCGATTCTCATTAGAAATCTGTGGTTATTAAAATCAGTGTATCCCTTTAAACAATGTGCTCTTTTTTTCCCCACTGATTTTCATGAGTATGTTTTTGGTTTTCAGTCATTGGCTTATTATGTATCTAAGTGTGATTTTCTGTGAATATGAGGGTACTTCCAAAAGTTTGTGGGAAATGCAGTTTAAAAAGAAGTTTATTTTAGTGCATAAATTTGAAATCCATGCATTTTTTTCTTAATATGCATTTTCCATGAGCATTTTAAAATGTGTATTCTTATTTATCTTAATCTATTTGAAAGGCAGAGAGAGAGAGAGAGAGAGAGAGAAGAGGGGAGAATGAAAAGGTGAGAGAGACGGTGAGAGAGAGATCCTCCATCCACTAGTTCATTCCCCAAATGAACAACCAGGGCCTAGGCCAGACCTAAGCCAGGAGTCTGGAGCTCCATCTGGGTCTCCTTTATGGGTGGCAGGGGTCCAGGCACTTGAGCCATCGTCTTTTTCAACACCCAGAAGCATTTGCAGGGAGCTGGGTCAGAAGTGGAAGCAGCTGGGACTCAAACCGGAGCCCATATGGGAGGTTAGTGTTGTAGGCAGTGGTTTAACACGCTGCACCATGACAAGAGTCCTGCATTTTCCTGATTAAAAAATACATGTGACATTTTAGAAAAAATGCTTCCATTGTC